GTGTCAAAAGATTGTTCAAAATAGTTAGGGGCGTTAATTTTGACATTAATTATCGGGAAATGTTGAAAGACAAAATGGTTCTTTGTCGCAGAAACACTGTGTAGGAATTTCATGTCAATGGGATTCTTAAGCCTCTAGACTCTCTAGCACGTCCACAAGTCATTATGTGGGTGAATATAAAATAAACTACATGTAAATAAAATTTTAATCTAAGCTTAAAAAGACTACGACACGTACGCTTTAATTTGCTGAATGTTTTTAGTTCCGAAATTACTTATACCCTATGCGTAGTCATTATTCTATAATCAGCAGAAAATCATTTAGGAGTCTTAGATTCACGCCTATTTCATTATGCAACTGACCTAAATATGATTAAGTGCAACAGGTTAACGTCAAGGAAAAATCATTTACAAATTGGGTTAGTAATATCCATTGGCCTAGAAAATTTAATTATAGATTTACATCTACACGGTTAATTAATTTTATCCAGTGTGTAGTCATATGGAACAATTTATATAGGAAAACTCTGCGCAGAACAACATTCTTTCTGGCATCGAAATCAGGTTTATGACAGCTCTTAGGATAGAAAAGTGTCTGACTTTGAAATGGAACTAGAGATCCTTTATGACAATCTTAAAGCTATCTTTGTCGTTTAGTGCCTGACGTATCATTAAGTTTGCTAAGGTAGAGAGAATTAAGTCAGGGAAACAACAGCTCATTTAACTTTTGACAAACTATACAGTTTCTAGAAATTGCTTTACCGTTCCACACGATATTAACACCTAGCTTCCAGACTATTCTACAAACATAAGTTATTCTCGGCAAATTAGTAACGACAAGTTGAAACGTGAATTTGTAAAGCCCTTTACGCTTATAGATTGTTGTCGTTCATTGTTACTGGATCTATAACGTACCGTATTTCTATTCTATGAAAAAACATATTTAATCATGGTTATTACGTCCGCTACCCTATGACAGGCCATTTATTAGGGAATCTGGGACATTGGTGCTTTAGGGGGCCCGCCTTTTGTTACAAGTGTTGTGTCTACTTACAATGGTACTTTGAAGTAGTACCAAAAGCACGTGATTTGCACCAGAAAACATCATTGTCATTTTTCCTACTGCTTCTGTATTTCGTTTACAAAGCAGCAGGACAAACACCAACTATACATACCATTCACTTAAATAGTAGGCTGCCCTGCCCCCTGATAGGATGAAGCTAGCATCGTATTCCGAAATAACTATAGACACATACCAAGGGGGATACCTAACATGGTAGTGGATACACGGAGGGCTGTGGTGGGTTATTAGGAGAACGGTTGTTACTTAAAGAGCCACCACCGCTCTAAGGGGCATTAACTCTTTTAATTAAAGAAGGTTATATTCAAGATAGTCATAGATTCGTCCAGATATCGAAATTCAAAGCTCCGATCTACGAGTAAGACAGTTTTGACGACAGTATGCGTCTATAACTCGCTTGAAAACATTTGAAAATGTATATATATATATATATATATTTGAACTTGTCCGATATAAATGTATAAACAAATTTTTACCAACCCCACAGCTGAAATGTCATAATTATATTAAGCAAATTCTATATAAACAAAAAATATTTTGTCAGCCTATTTTTATCAGGAATAAATGAAATGAAATGGGGTTTAGCGTCCTACTGTTCTGCTCCTAAACTGGGCTAATGAAGACGGGCATACGCCATACAGTGTGCTATGAGGGAAATTTTGCCCGGGCAGCGGCACTACGGCCTACTCTTATATCGAATTCCAACTACCAAGGGATATTTTACGTGCACGCAAATGTGTACATGAGACTTCGGTTTTCCGCCCCATCCGAACGGCTAGACAGCTGTCCTTGTCAGGCCCTCCGTCCTGCATCACGGACAAGGGGAAACCACGCTGGAAAATCTGGATGAACTTTCTCGGCCAGTGCAGGGATCGAACACCCGACCTCCAGGCTAGCGAGCCAGCGTCTTACCCACTTAGCCACGTGATCCCCATCAGAAATAAAACGACTGTACGTAAATCAACAGACCAATATATTATTTAAGATGCATTATGTGAGAACTGAATCTGCCAATGGTTTTATTCTGGCTTCAAATGCTATATAAATTACTATTCCGACATTTATTCACATGACAAGCCTATAATCAACTCTCTAGACCATGCTCAGATATAAACAGATTAAAATACGATCACCATTTAATGATTCAATTTAAAAATGGAAAAGCGAAGCCGAGTCTTGATTAACATTAAAGTTGCTGCGATAATAAACAATCTATATATTTCAAAACTTCACACAGTGATAAGGTGGCTCAGAATAAGGTGATTTGAATGAAATTTCCATCATATTAAATATTGAATGATCTATTTTGGAACTATTATAGAATGAACGGCCAGCTCTGTATCTAAATCTTACATAATGCATCTTTAATACGTTTCGTTTAGTTATTAATAAAATATGAACATTTTAATTCCTATATAGCCTAGACATATGACATTTATTAGTTGCTATAATATGTTTCCTCAAAGCAATACATAAGATAATACATGTATACTATAAACTGTATTACCAAGAATTTTTACGAACGGCGCCAGCGGTGAACGGCGCCCAGAAAATTACTTCAGTGCAAAAACCAGACAAAACTTTTGCATGCACTAAGATGTTACCTTTACTTGTTCGTTAGTAACCGAATGAAAATTACCAGAAATGGTCTATTGATGAATGGATATTGGTTACATTATATGATTTGGTTTCAATGGACAATAGACATACAATATTACTGAGTGAAAGACCTCTATTCGCTGTAAATACTAAGCATATCCGCACTACTGCAAGAAAATGCTCACTACTGTAAATAATCGGAGGGGGATGGACCCCAGAAGCTAAGGTCGACGCGAGATCCATTATTAGGAATACGTATCTCCGTGTGTTAAACTTTATCATGAATAATTTTAATACTTGATACTGGAGTCTAATTAAATGTCATTTCTTCTTTATGGTTTTGATTTTCCAACAGTACATTCAATCATACCACTGCCATTGCCCTTTCATTGGCTGTTTACAGTACACAACTAAGAACACTTACCGATAATAGATCTTAAGAACAATGCGGTAAAATATAAAATACGGAATAAAAAAAACCGACAAAAACGAATAAATCACTTTCATTGTTGTTTTTAGAAAAAAAATGGACAGTTTTTTTGTTTTTTTTTAAAAAAAGAAAAATGAACAGCTTTCTTTGAATGGTGAAAGTGTTGTATAAATAAGAACAAATATTTCCTGATCGACAATTCTGATTATAACCTACAAATGGTGAATAGTAACAAGAGGTTGCCTTAGTGAACCTTGACTCCCCCGTGTAAATGTTTCTGACCTTGTATACAAAGAATGATAAAGCTGATTAAAGAAATTCTTCGTGGGTTACATTCCCAACAGGTGGCATTGTAGAACACATGTATTAGAAACTTCTGTTTTAGCATTATCGCGCTACAAAAATAGAGGATTCGTATTAAATAGTTATTATTTAACACCTAAAATGTATTTTCAAAGAATTTCTAATGTGTTATTACGTTTTTAGAACACGTTATTATACGTTCCGAGTGCAATTAATATATCAACGTGTTTTTCTTAGTTTGCTAGATTGTTCTGTCTGTAACGTTTATCTTTTCAAAGCTTATTCATCAATCAGTTTGGGGCTTTCTTTTATTGTTTTGACGGTTTATTGCTTTGTCGAAATATTGTTTGTTTTACCTGTAGGTTGTAAATTGAATGAGATGAAATGTGGGCCTATATCTGGAAAGACTGGTATGTTTTATCGGCCACGGATATGATCAAGCCATCATCTACAACATCATTTTAAGTTAAATTCTGGGTTTTCAAATGCGATTGCATGCTAAGTTAATATCCGTTTTAAGATTCCGTTCGCATTATATACCCTCTACCGTAGTGGTTTTCAAAATGTCAGCGGACTCTAGTGAACAATGCTTAGATATATGTAGGTCAGTTTTTGGTTTTTCGGTAATTAGTTTAAATAAGTATGTGAATAGGCCTACATTTCAAAATAATGTCACGCTCTTCGTCATAGTATATAAATGTAGTTAAAACCAGTAGATAGTATTAACATGCAGCCATTACGTAATTATTATATCGTTATTCAGATTGGACGAATGGAGTAAATGTTCTAAAAACCGGCAGTTTTAGTGAGATGAAGGCAGATATATTTATTTAGGTAAAATAATGATATCAGGAAACATGAGTATATTTATAATCATAGCAACACATTTATAACATCTGCCTAAATGGATTGTAGTAAGTTCACCACGTAGGGACATTCTTACTAAAACCGTTCTATACATTGAATGAATTCCTATTGGTTTAAGGTCACATTAACATCTGGGGGATTCATTGGCACTATCTGAAAAACATAATTTTTGCCTGTTGTCAAGGACAATGTTGGTGTCAACCATTATTATATATGCGATAGAACCGGTTAAACACACTCCAAATATAATTTTAACACATAGATAATTGCTATGGTAGATGAGTAACGAAGAGTGACGCAAAAAAATGAAAACACGGATTGTCCTTATATATAACTGACTGACGTAACGAGTGAAAAGAGATACAAGGTCGATTTTCAGCTCACTGATAATTCCTTTGAAGACGAAAAGTTGTTATATGAGACTGTGAGAGGATCTTACAATCCAGTTTGCGTCACTTCCCGTTTCTTCAAACCTTCATAGCAATGATCTTTGTGTTAAAATTATTTTTGGTATGTGTTAAACCAGTTCTATCACATATGTAATAATGGCTGACACCAACATTGTCCTTTAACATTCGGCAGCGGCTTAACCGCTGACTGGAATGTATATGATAGTATAACTTACCAAATTGGACATATACACTACGTGTATTCTTATAACGATAATAAAATTTACTAAATGGAACGTATTAATTATTCTTATAATGATAGTAAAACTTACCTTTTAACTTCATAGCTTCATTCAGTTCTATATTAACGTGGCCTTGTAAAATATCGCCCGCGAAATAAACACTGTGTGGACTGTTCAATACAATCTCAAAAGTTTTAAATTTGCCCATACTTGCTGTAAAACGGGAAACTATTTCTACGATTTTTTAAACTTTTAAGTTGAATCCAGAGAACTGAGATATTTAATTCTATAGTCCTCGACGAGTTGTCGACATTCCAAGTTTCTTAATCGATCAGGAAGTATGTCTAAGTTTCACAATGGACATATATATATATTCACTTTCCTTTATACAGAAGGCGTCGACACCAGACGTTTGGAAATAAGTAGTTTCAAATGTTTTCAAGGTTCTGTACTTTGAAGCAATTACATCGATCTGAAGATAAATATAGTTCCTGTTCAATCTGAATTGTTCGTTAAATGAATAATTATTCCGTTTGGTAATGATCTATAATGGCAGTTATCATTAATAGTCAGGACATTTATCATTGATCTGTAAAATATAATAGCATTTTATTAATAGTTCGTCACACGCTGCATTGGATTAATATACATATATATGTCAAAGATAAACGATACCTGTGTCTCAAAGGGACGTACGTATAACTTTATCTGACACAAGATAATTCCATAGCGGTTGACAAGGGTTGTCGTATATTTATTCTTTTGTAGGTAACTGGGAGCATTTACAAGACAATTTCATACAAATCAGATTATAATTTGTGTCGTTTAAGAGTTCACAGCGTTCTACAATCTGAAACAAGGGGCTTAAACCTGGAAGTAATTTACAGAAAATTGTTCGCTTTACTAATTTGAATAATGCATACAAATTTCATACAGATCGGATAATTACTTGTGTCACTCGAACGTTCACAAGGTTCAAAAAGTAAAACATGTGCCATAACTCTAGAAATAATTGACCGAAATTGCTGAATTAAATGTCGCATATAAATTTCATACAGATCGGCAGATAACGTTACATGTTACAGCGTCACAAGGCGCAACAAAGTGAAACAGGAGCTATAACTCTATAAGTAATTATGGGAAATTGCTGAAATGCAATACGATTCCTCGTTTCACTAATTTAAATAATGCATATAAATTTCACACAGTTTGGATGATAAATTTTGACGTTAGAGCGTTCACAAGGTTCAATAAAGTGAAACAAGGTCCATAACTCTAGATGTAATGAACGGAAATTGCTAAAATTTTCTAGGCTTCTTTGTTTCCCTAATTTCAATAATAAATTTCACAAAGATCATATGATAACTTTTGGCGTTAGCGCGTTCACAAGGTTCAACAAAGAGAAACAAGGTCCATAATTCTAGACGTAATAAACGGAAATTATTGAAATTAAATAGGATTCTTCATCGCACTAATGTAAACCACCCGATTAGATTTTATTACATACTTCGAGAAGGTATTTGTTGAGTAATAAAACCTTCTAGTAGTTTATCGAGGGCTGGCCGTCCTTACCGCACGGTACAAATAAAACCTTCTAGTAGTTTATCGAGGTTCGGGTGCTTCCGGAGTCCAAAATGGCCGCTTTATATAAATGAGAATTTTGGGGATAACTAACCCGAACCCTAACCCTTTTTAAAAGACTGAACTTGGGTCTAATTTAGTTTTTACTTCTCTTAAAAGGGTTAGGGTTTAGGTTAGTTTTCCCCTAAATACTCATTTGTATAAAGCGGCCATTTTGGTATGAGTTCTGGCTTGTTCTGGAATTTGTTGCTTCTAGTGGTGATAATATTTGTACCGTGCGGTAAGGACGGCCAGCTCTCGATAAACTACTAGAAGGTTTTATTACTCAACAAATACCTTCTCGAAGTATGTAATAAAATATAATCGGGTGTGTAAACAACATGTATTAATTTAAAAAATTTAAAACAATCGGATAACTTTTGGCGTTAGAGCGTTCACAGGAAATTGTGGATGACGGACGGACGGCAATATACGTCCACATTAAATTCATGTGGGCGTATAAAAATGTACCATGTTAGTGCATCATACTTGTATATATCTCCTATTCAAATTGTTAAAACATGAATGCTCATTAAATTTAGTAATATATGCTGACGGAACACTACGACTAGTTTTCCTTAAACATTTTTCTTTTTTTTTTAATTACGTTAATAGTGATGTTATGAAGTCAACCAGTTCCATACACGGTCTATGTTATTAATTATACAAAGAGACTGTACATAATATATCTGTCTTTCACACTGTTATTTCTCGAATGGAACTAATACATTAATTTATTGTGTAGTTACGCTAGTGAACACCGTCCATAAGCCGTATGATATTGCTAAACAAAGAGAAAGGGATTCTTTATCGATTAAGCTACTAATATAATATACCAAATAAATATGTTTGTTTTAAGGGCAATTAACATACGTTTCTAAATGATAGCATTTTGTTAAGCATTTCCAGATGATAAAGATCTCGACTTATCTGTTATCATGATCGCCTCTGTAAAAAATGCAATGCAAACAAAACTGAATCTGAATAACAGTTTCTTATGGAATGTCAAATATATGAAGATTTAAGAAAACAATATATATCCAATCCTTGAAATACTGGTCTAACCTTTTCATTTGAAAATCTATTCAACCCACCGAGTATTATAGCCAGAAGTGTCACAGCCTTTGTCTACTTCTCTTTTTTTTGCAGAGACAACTGAAATGTTAAATATGCGTGATATTTTATTATCTTTTATGTGCACGCGTTTTGTTTTGTATTTTCATATGTTATGTACCCTGTATGTAGGGTTACGTGATTTTATACTTTGTACGTTTTGTGTTGAGGTTGTTGTTCTTCGGGTGATATCGCAGAAAAGTTGTCTTATTTTCATTTTCTTAGCGCACGCGCAGGGGTCTTTGCTGTGGGAGGAAACCGGAGTACCCGGAGTAAACCTACGAAGGCTGAAAGGGGGGCCTTTCTTCAAGCCACATACGCTCACACCAGGTATCGAAACCACGACCGCAAGTCAGAGGTGACCGGCCAGCGGGAGCTCGAAGCGCGACACTCTAGACCACTATAGAGGCCATCCCTGTATATATATAATATATGTACTATGTATGCAGGTTTACTGTCTATTTATATAATGAGAGCTCTGAATTTATGCCCGTCATTGTACTCTCCAAATTTTTTGTACTTGCATTTAATACTTTGTATATTGTATTCTGTCCTCAAAGAACGTTTCGGTGCAATAAAATTTCTACTCTGTTCTAATTCTATTCTATTCTATTCTATTGCTACTCTACCATATATTATTATATACACCCTGGGGCTATGCCTCCGGAAGGAATTTGCTACTGAGAGGTTATACTGCCAGCAGTTTAAATAATTAGTGATTATAGACGGGTCAATTACGTTAATGGAGATCTTACAATTCTAATTTGGGATACAATTATCATATAACATAAGGAAGTATACACAGTAGTGGACGGGTGCTTTAATGTAAATAAAACATTGACTTACTTTGAGTTAATTCCCGATCACTTCAAGTAAGCTCCTACAGAATACAAAGCACGTAGCAAAACTTACAAGCTGTACTGCAATCCCAGACAACGTCTTATTAATGCACACATGCAGAACGTTAACATAAATGTTTGTTTACATTAAAATTCACACATCCGTTAACCATTCCACAAGTTATGTAATTTTAACAACCACTATAATACACTTGTTACGCGTCAACTAACATTTGGTTTGTAGGTCCCAGATATCTGAGTTGTTTTGTTTATATGTAGGCCAAAGCTGAATATTAATGTGGTGCTGATCGTGGAAGCAGAACTGGAAAGATAAACACAACACCGCGCGTTTGAGAATTGGTATCAATAAAACCATTTATATATTACACTTCTGCTATTGGTATTTAAATCAGAGTACCGTCGTCTGCTAACCTCTTCAAAATATAGCGCGAAAATATATGTGAGCTATAACGATGTTAATAGTTTAGTCAGGTACAGAGACTATCAAGTTGGTCTCTAAATTAGAGACAGGCTGAGTTCAATATTAGAAGAGATGAATCGCGGGTAGAATATTATCAGAGATTGGATCTACTAGAGACTGACCATGCCCCGCTACAAACAAGCAGATAATCTGATAAACAAAGAAAAGCGCCATCAATTCCAGGGTCAAAAGTCTGCAGGTCATACTCGAGAATTTAATATCGCTTTCACATGTTTTTGCTTCGAGCCAATCAAATTTTACGCCAATAGAAAACCTTTGTTCTCATTGGTTGCCAAGAGCTGTTGAAATTTGACGCTTGCTAACGGGAACTAGGACCGTAAATTTTGTTAACAGTGAGAAATGTGTTCTTAATGTTTCCCACAGGCTTGATCTATGCAATCCAAAGATGTTTTTTTTACCAAGTATCGTTAAAAGAATTCGTTTAAAGAATTGAAGAAGGGCAAATTAAACGGGCACAAATATCCTACATATGCTCTTTGCAATGTAATTTGTAATAAATCGACAGACAAAAATGATTAATGAACGAATAAAAAAAAATGTTTTACAGACAGAGAAAGCTATTTATTGTGCTTCATGTTAATATTAATGCAAAACCACATCAACATTAATAGAAAACATGAGAGATATTTCGTTGAACAATAAAACACAGATTTGTACCGTAACTATATACATAAAAGAAAACCATTTGAACATAAAAAAAATGTAATAACGTGTTCACCAAATCTCTTTTATACGCGAAAATAAAATATGTTTTCATCTAAAGTATTTATGGTCCACGCACACTCTATTACCGTGCCAATCCTGAACATCGCCCTGAAATGTGTCACGATATAACAGGTAGCTATTTTTTTGGCTTAATTATTTTCCCATTTACATTAATATTTGGATTTAAAATTTCAATCTGTTTCATAGAGCTATTGTGAAGGCCTTCTTACAAGGACGTGGATTTGTCATAACTTTTTTTTTTGGGGGGGGGGGGACGAACCCTGGAACCTTTCATTACTAAGCCAAAATAATAATTACGAACAGTTTACCAGTGTTATTTCGATGAAAGCTGTAACTAGGGGTAATATGATGACGATATAGTAAAATTGACTAAATACAATTAAGGAGGAAGATATCGTGAAGATCAGTAACTGTGGCGAGACCCAAGGCAGTGGTTAGATAGCCTTCAGTACGGGACATTCATGTGGATATAAACCTGAAAATCTGTCCTGGCGATCAAAATCATGGGGGGGGGGGGCAGAGACCTATTCGCCCCCCCCCTTCCGATTCTAAGGGGGGGGGGACCGCCCCCTCCCCCTGTCCCCCCTAAATCCACGCCCATGCCTTCTTATAAAACTGTGTTCGTTCGTTCCTGGAGTTATACGTCCACTTCAACCAAGGGTGATATCGTAGGCAAATAACACTGTGTAAGATGAGTGACCTTTATAATTGCATTCTACCTGTGACGTCACATCATATGGCATCGATCATTGGCTCGATAGCTCGTGTAATGTTTACACAACGTGAACTGTACCGGGCAGAATATTGCCTAATAATCATACTGATTTACACTAAATAGGAAATATTTTTTTAATTTTTTTATGAAGATATACTTCAAACACTTTTATCTATTTTTCTATAACTTCAAAAATAAAAGGAAAAAAAAAAAGAAAATATTCTAGAATTTCAATTGCAGAAGGCAAAAGGTTAATATTGGGAGCATATCATACATCTCAGTGATAGTAGAGGCCTAACGAATATTCACTGTTGATCAGTTATGTTGAAATTTATGTATCTTTTATACTGTTGAATTTGTATTTCGTAATTGAAGATACACTTTGATAATTTTAACTGAAAATTTGACAGAATTGTAATATTATGTGTAATTTTGTTTTCTATTTACACGGCAATTCTTGATGAGGGACGGATAACCATCAAGCGGCCTTTTCTAAATTCAATACCATGAAAATAGGTCGATGGTGGTTTCCTGTGATTCTGAACTGGACAAATATATGCATAATTATACCAAGGTTGTGGACATTCTAAGGTCACAAATCCGATGTTGATGTTTATAACCCAAAGGTCTCGGTTCCTGGATTATGGCCCTGATTGTACGAAAAATCACATTATGCGCTTGTGGGCCATCCAGAGGTCACAATTTGTATTTAATTGTAAAAACTGACCCACAAAATGGTCGCCCCCTTTTAGGCAAATGGTGTAAAAAGATGTAATACCCAGGCTGTGGACCATCTAGGGGTCAGAATTTCTAAAAATATTCAGTAAAAGCTATTTGACCGATTGTTTTATATCCACGGGCCACTTGCTCTAAAAACATTCTTCAATGCTTATATAGCTTCTATTTCCTGTTGGCAATTATTGAAAAGCTTCATAAGGACAAAATATATATCCTTCTGTGGTAAATAAATCCAAAAGAATTTCGGAGCCTTCGGCGCACCTGATAACAAGAATCCTTGTACTGACAGCATTTTACGCTTCCAAGATTCCCAACTGGTTTACTCGCGACCTTCGTGTGGCAGCAATACTAAACCACTACACTTGGGCACCGCTACAAACTATCACCCGCTTGCTGTGATTGTCCCATCTCGTTACTGCCTATATTGGAGAATCATCACACTAGATCCATACTCGTGTGAGAACATGGTGAACATGTAGTATTTCCATACAGGTACTAATTAAAAGTTTAAAGATACATTAATCAAGAGTTTTATAAAGAGTTGACCATTCTTGCTATAATAATTTTAAAATAGATGATAAAAAATGATGAAAATTTCAGTCAAATTACTTTGTTCTGAACGGAATTATCACTGTTGGAAGTTTGGACTAGAAATAGGCATCAATTGTGTCTGCACCGTCTATGAGAATTGGCGATCGTTTGATTGACAGACGATAACCCCACCCACATATTCTCGATTATCAAGTAACATGCTCAATGGCTATGGTAGCCTCGCTTGACATCACCAGTTTCCGGTAATGACATCAGCGACTAACGGTAAACGTTAGCTTGGTCCGCCATTTATTGATTTAATTTTAAAAAAAGGACTGTTGTCCGAGAAGAACAAGTGGTGGTTCTGGCGTGTGGTACAACGATTCCTGATATGGTAGATGTTTTGGTCTAGAATGGACAGAGATGGTTTGAATTAACATTTTATGACAGGTGTTGGTAAATATTCATGATTTAGAGGCGGAAAGATAACAGAGTTATCAGGTTGGTTACGGTGCTATGTACGGTGAATAGTCACATGCTTTTAGTATGCTTCTTCCAATATGTATCTCAAAATTTTGGTGGTCAACCTAATACAAATTTTGTTGCAAAGACATGACCATTTGTTTCTCTGTATGAAGTGAAAAGCATTCAGCATAACGAAAATTTGGGGAAAAGTTGGAGCCGGGCAAAGAGGACAGAATTAACATTGCAGTCAATAGGAAAATTAATGGTGGTCTGCATCTGAGTTGTCTCCCATTATTCCAACCAACATATTTTTCGAATATATTTCCCGCCCAAGATCAAGGGCGCGCCGTGTCGACTGCTGATACCCTTAAGAGGTCATATAATCGGGGTAGATGGCGTGGGGCGTGGGGAGGTGGTAATTTGATGCGCATTATCTGAGTCTTGATAGCCCTGAGTGTTTTACACTGGTTGTGATTTCTTTTTTTTTTCATTTGAAAAGGGGCTATTTCACACTATGTATTTCGGGGCTAACATGACTGACTCATTTATTTCCGTGGTATGTTTTTAGAAGTGTAAAGGAAACCGAAGCACCCAGAGAAAACCAACGACTTAATCTATGAGGAAAGGTCACACAGAGGGAAACATGGTTTTAACATATATTGCAGGATTACAGAATACAATACAATCTATAATGGTAATCCTAAAGCTGCGCATGACTGTCAAAATGAATTAAACCCAAAACATTTGGTGATTAACCTCATACAAATTTTGGTGCAAAGACATATGACCATTTAACAGTTTTTTCTAATATTCCATTTGAGACCTTTAGAGTCTTAAACTAGAGTGGTTTCCTTTACACAAACTGTTCGTAAAATATCAACTTAAATGAAACGCATTATACACGGTATAAAAAATATTTATTTAATTTGCGCTTCAGATCAATACAATGACTGCTCCCTTCAATTTTGTCGAAGGACAGATAACTCTCAATTCATTGTGATATCACCGGTGTGTGTAGGTCTAGCAGAACACATTTTGTGTTATTTATGATAATATTTATATCGTGAAAAGATGATTAGAAGCATTATTAAACCAAGCAATGGTCGTATTCTTCAGGTCTGTATATTGTTAATTAATTTTTATTCAAGAAAACGGCACATCATCAAACCCATGCCATGGGCCATATATCTCGGGGGTTTTCTCGTTTTTTCTTGGATCATCATGGATTGATGCAATTATTTTGCTTGTTACATAAGATACATTGGCATTATAAGGATGCGTAAACACGGCGTTACTTCAATTTTAATCTTAAAATTGTTATGGCATTCGCTTTATTATTAGACCTACATTTGAAATGTCAATAAAATACACGACACGTGGGCTACCTTATTATTAATATACATGTGTGGTACCTATTAGGCCTATAAAGGCGTAGCATTCTTGTTTGCAGCTTAGGTTGAACTTAACATTGAACTTGATATAACCCCCTTGTTTATTTCTCTATATTTTAACTAGAGGAACTATTGGAAGATGTTGACCTACATGGTGTAGAAAATATGGTATATTTTCATTTAGATCTAAATAAATTGTATTTGATTTTTGCAGAGATTACTTACCCAAGGTCAACAGCAAGTAAGATTTCGATCACGACTACCATTTAACACAGTTATATTATTTGTACCTCAACAAGAAGCCTGGGTCATAGAAAGGTTTGGTAAATGGCATAGAGTTTTAGACCCAGTAAGTTTTTTGGGAAAATTTTTTTTGAAACATTCCAGAGTACTAAAAGTGTTTAACCCGTTAAGTGCGTAGGTCGTTATATAATGTCCTGGACAACTGCCACTCACTGTGTGTAGGGCGGAATATAATGCCTTGGAGGTATTTTCCCCAACCTATTCTTAGAACATAGTTCGTCACTTGGGGGGGAATGCCTTGGGAACATGCGCTCATACTGGCAAATACACAAACTCGGTCGCGACAATGAAGCATGCCCGCATTTTGGATATATATAGATTGTGAGTACTAGCACTCATAAATATCCTAAATTCTCTGATCATTATTTTAGTGATTTTTTTTATCCTTGGTACACAACAATGTTGTAAGTTGGAAATGCAGAAAGGAATATGTGTGCCCAAAAATGGTTCAGATATCTTCAATATTTACAAGATATGATGAATCGAAAATATGTCAACATTATGCATACTCTGCAGACAATAAAACCGGGATATGGTGAAAGACATTGCAAATGACAATCAGCTCCTTTTAAGATGTTGTTGGCCCTACCCCTCTTATTTTGACTATGGAAATACACAATGGGCTAATCCTGTATAGTCATACCAATGAAAATCTGTTTCAAAATCGTAATTTGTTTCTTGCTTTTTATTTGCAGGGTTTAAATTTTCTTCTTCCCGTTGTTGATTCCATTAAATATGTTCAGACATTGAAAGAAATAGCAATAGATGTTCCACATCAGGCAGCTATTACCATTGGTAAGTCTCGGTTATTGTTAAAAGGCCCAGGCTTTACATCATCAGGTTGATTTAGCAATCTGATTAAAATACAGATCTACTGTATATTTTCATGTGGACCCCTACGCGTAAGCAAATTATTGAAATAAAATTAAACCATACATGTATGTTAGTCCCAAAATGAACTAATTTGTGTCAAGTGAACATTAAACCCCAACTCTCTCTCTCTCTCTCTGTATTAGCCTACATGTACATCTTGTCATATTTTAAATTAAGAAGTTTCGACAAGTAACTAGTTTTATATTTTTATAGATAATGTAACATTAACTATGGATGCTGTGCTATATTTACGTGTAATCGATCCATATAAGGTAAAGATTATTTATCACATTGTTTTGCATTTAATGCTTACCATATATAAATCTATATTAAAATCAGAAATGATGTTCTTCAATTTTGGTTAAAAAAGATAGAAAACCCAGGACAAGTGTTTTATTCAGTTATTATCTCCATTTCATATTTAATTGTCATGCAGTTCTGTATACTGGTACAAAAATATTTCTTAAATTTCAGGCTTCTTATGGAGTAGAAGATCCAGAATATGCTATAACTCAACTAGCTCAAACTACAATGAGATCTGAGATTGGTAAAATTACACTTGATGGAGTATTTAGAGAAAGAGAATCACTTAATACAGCCATTGTTCGTAAGTTAGATTTTATTTAGAAATTGTTGAGATTTGACGAAATTTGAAAGAAAACTAATCATTAATCATTTATTGTTGTGAAAAATGTACATGTAACAGTTTATGTTACTGGTTAATGCTATCTGTGCACCCTATGGAAGCTTAGTCAGTATTGAAACCTATGATTGATGGGATAATGTGTATGCCTTTCACACTAGAGACCCTGGATATGAATCCCAAAAGTAGCTACTTGTCATATGTACAGAGCGTGTGAAAATATCACACTATCAGCCAAAATATTATATTTGCCACATGGAATTGTGTAGCATGTGTTTGACAAAGAGGAGTCACGGTAGCTCATCAGTGAGTAATTCTTTATTGTGCCCAACAAAAATGCTGCAGACTATCTTCTTGTTCAGATAAAATAATCTTTTAATTATTTTTTTTTATTTTATTCAGATGCTATAAATAAAGCTGCTGAAGCGTGGGGTATTAGTTGTATGAGATATGAAATACGTAAGTTTAATTCATCTGTGTAGTATTGTCTCGGGTCATGGGTACACTCATCTACAACAGGATGTTTATAGTATGGGTTCATACAACTGTCAGGGTTTATTCACTTCACAATAATATTTATTATACAATAATAAGGTTTTTTGTTATATGAAACTTGTGTGTTCATGCGTGCTGTATCATAAGGCCTGTCATTGAGTCAACTGGTGTGGTTTTGAATCCCAGGTTGTACGTGAGAAGGAGTAGGGTCGCCTGTCCAACCTCGTGGGTTTTCTCCGGGTCCTCCGGTTTCCTCCCACTGCTAAAGACCCCTACGCGCAAGCAAATTATTGAAATAAAATTAAACCATATGTTAGTCCCGAAATGATCTAGTTTGTGTCGAGTGGACGTTAAACCCCATTTCTCTCTCTCTCTCTCCAAATGTAGTCACACTGCTGATTCACTATTGCATAATATAGTTCTATATAGGGGTGACGATTACCTGTTTCACAAAATTGGAAATTGTGTTTTTTCAGTTTTAGGAAATAATCAAGAAACTAAATTAGATGTTTTGTGGAGGATTTAGAAAAATAAAATGTCAGCAATGAGTGTGTTTTTTTTTTATCACATTTATATATTTTTGAAAAATAGGTCTTTTCCACAATATTCCGTTTTAGATTGTAAATGTCATATTCCAGAAAATCATCACCCTTACCATGTGCATAATCAGCCAAATATCGGCAGACAATTTATTCCATAGAGATTTGGTTAAATGATATCAGGATGAGATAACAGAGTAGAGAAACATGCTTTGTTAACAGATATAATTTATTTTTATATTATATCTAGTTTGATTATATAATGTATTTAAGGGCGGATGAACATGCAAGGATCTGCAGTGGATCAGCCGATTATGCACAAAATGTTATGTATGTAGAAAGAGTATGGCTTTACTATATTACATTATAATTACATAACGACTTTATGTTCTTGTCTATAGGTGATGTAAAATTGCCAGCTAAAGTTCAAGAAGCCATGCAGATGCAAGTGGAAGCAGAAAGAAAAAAGAGAGCAGCTGTTTTAGAATCTGAAGGTAAAAAAAGTCTTATTTTCATGTGTTTAAGTTTCCAAAAAGTTACAAACACGCTCAAATTTATATGTGAAATAACAATTCCCAGTTTCTGAATATGCAACGTTTCGACAATGTTAACTCTCGTTTTTATCAAGCAGATGTTAAAACAAGAGTACCATCATTGAAACATTACATATTTATAAACCGATAATTGTTATTCTATATATAAATTTGTGTGTGTTACTAAAGGCCACTCGACGAAAGTCTATTCAGGGACATCAACATTGTTTAAAACTATTATGAAATGTGATGAAATAGGTCTATCATTTGACTTATTTTAAAACATTGACCATTTTTTTGTAATCTATTTTTGTAATGCTCTGCTTTATTGTTTATTTCTATTTGATTCTTATTCCTGTTTCATAGAAAATAACTGCATTGCATATCTAAATAATGTAGCTTTATTTTGTTATAGGTATTAGAGAAGCTGAAATCAATGTAGCTGAGGGTAAAAAGAAATCAAGAATTTTAAATTCTGAAGCTTTTAAAGCAGAACAAGTAAATCAGGCCACTGGTGAGAAAATGAATTATTAGCAAATACTGTTTCAATCTTTGTCAAAATTATTTAAAATGTCATGGTGTTTATAAATATCTTGAAAACTTTGTATAATTTAATATTTAATTAACCTTGCATATAATTAGAAATGTTTGAATGCATTTATTACCTGATGTTTTGACGTTTTATATAAGATAGTTTACTATATACCAGACACCATTTTACATAACATGTGACTAGTTTTATTACTGTGTTGTATTCTTAATTATATAGCCAATGAAAATGCTGCTGTTCCTGTCACTACAAGACACTGTCTAAATGATCTATTTATAAGCTTACTAAAGTTTTGTGCATAATGTTTGCTTTTCGAACAGTAGTCGCTCTGAGTATATGTTAGATCTCAGTGTAGTAAAATCAGAACCATAAAGACAAATCGAAATAAAGATATAATTTAATTACATTGATTCCATCATTTTACAGGTGAAGCGGAAGCGTTGATAGCAAAAGCTAATGCCAAGGCCAAATCCATTGATATAGTTTCTTCTGCACTCTCACAAAGGGTAAATTTAATAAATGTGTTATTAAAGCATTACACTTTTACTATTTTAGCCGGTAATTTTGTGTGATTAACATGTAAACTCCATGTGTTGCAGTTGTTTCAACTGCACACAACCAGAAATGTAGAATGTAGCATGCCAGATGTTATATTGTATAACATGTTCTGACTTGATTTACATGTCAGTCTTGCTTGACTGGCCAAACTGACTAATAATATATCTGTCAGGAAATTAATGCAACAATTATATTTGTAGTTACCATGGATACAGTAATTTTGAATGTACAACGTTTCTACCATTGACATTTTGGTCAGTTACCTCCTATTAACACTAATTAAGCTCTGTGACCAAAAACTTAAGTCCACCGTAATTTCTTGTATTTATTTTCAGAATGGTATAAATGCTGTGTCCTTTAATGTTGCTGAACAATATGTAGGAGCATTTAGTAATTTAGCTAAGAAAGGAAATACTCTTATTTTGCCAACAAATACGGGAGATGTTTCTAGCATGGTCGGGCAGGTTAGTATGAATTTGTTTGTGCTTTTTATTTTTTGATATTCTTGAGAATAAATGATCTGTGTTTCAATAGGTAGACATATTGGCATGATGTCCTGCATTGTTCACAAAATGAACCATAGTGGCTCAGTGATTAAAGTGCTGTCTCACTAAGCAGAGATCCCATTTAGATAGGGCGACAAACTTAAGTTCAGTGAAGGCAATGACGTGCCCGTAAAATAACCATTGACAGTTGAGATTCGAAATAAGATTAGGTTATAGTTCCACTGTTTGGGCAAAACTTTCCTCATAGCACACTGCATGGCATATGCACTTCTTCATTTGCCCGGGCGGGGTAGAAAACTCCATTTCAAACAATGTACTATTTAACATGTGTTAATAGTAGACTAAATATACTTTTAAATTTGTGTGAGGACTTTGTCTGCTACAAAGCAAAAAAAAAATGAGTGAACAAAATTAATTATTTGAATTTATCATCTTTTTTTTCAGGCCATGGCAATATATAAAAATATAGCAAATCAATCAATAGATCATGATGAATATGATGACACTCCATTAAGTCCTTCTGATTCTTCAAGTTATCTACATGACAAATCTAATTTTGAATCAGCTGAAACAGGAAAAGATAACCCTGAAAATAGATCACCAGATGATAAATTATCTTGATCCTGCCGTTTAAATTATAAACTATTTTATGTAGAAATGTATAATATACATAATGTGGAGACATTATTGCAGTTAATAAAGTCTGGTAAAAGGGGACTATTATGTACCATGTGAATTTTTTTTCTCATGATTATTATAGCAGACCAGTATTTACATGTGCAAGTGGAAATTTACATGAAATATGATTATGTAGATGTGTGACAGAAATATAAACAAAAGTAAAGAATGTAATTTTTTTGTCAAAATTAGATTTATGTATCAAAGATTTGGATTTATGATCAGGGGTCTATTTTATTGATTTAAATATATACCAGTCACTCTATGATGATAATTTTTTATTTACATGTGTCTTGTTAAAAATAAATTAATTAAAAGTAAAACCAATATCAAATATATGTGCATTGTTATATGGTGCTAAAATGCTATACATGGTTTAGTTCACTGTTTAAATTTTCTCCCTCTTGATTAAAAAGACATGGTATTGGTGCCTTGGAGATCTTGTACGGTCAATAAAATGAAAATTTACTAATGGATTTGACAAAACAGTTAAATCTGAAGTATTCAATATATATGATTTTATGCAAAATTTGAGAGAGATATATAGATCATTAAGATTTATTACAAGTTGTACACATTATAGCCTATGGTAGTTTTCAAGGAGTTATAGCAGACACTCTTAAACATGTTTCTGACAATAAGTGAGTGATTGGATTTTTGATAGCTAGTCTAGCCATATTTTGAAAATAATGTCTAAACTTAATTACATTTATTTCCTTTTTGAAAGTGATAATGCCTTTATAATAATCAGCATTGACTATATAAACATAATTGTTTGTGTATGTGATGAAAGAATGTATAGTGCTATGACCTATTAAAATAAAGATTATTAACACTGTGTTTTTTACAAAATGAAATTGAATTGTATGAATCATAACCATTTGATTTATTGCCATTTTATCCCCCCCCCCCAAAAAAAAATAAATAAAGGCTTGATTATTCAGGGGTTTTTTACTATCCTAATTGTTAGTAGTTACTTTAGTAACGGTGTCTGATCGGACTATGTCCTTTCGATCAGACACCGTTTCTAAAGTAACTACATTTTTAGCAGCTTCAATTTATCAAGCTTAAAGGAGCTAAATCGCTAATATTTGGGACCTACAAATTGACACAAATGGGTCGCAACGTATATAATAATGTAATATGAATGTAAATAAACTGATTTACATTCAGTCGTTTCCGTTTTTACCCTAATTTCAAAGCAGTTATGTTCGGCGAAATACGCCAGAAGTCTCAGTCGAATGGCAATCTCTAGCGCCTGGTTATTCCACTCTACACTGATAGTATTTATTGCACATGCTCTCCAGATAAGAATATGGAGTCACCGTTTGACATGACTTGTGGAATATGCCTAATCTCGTTCTTCCGAGTCGGTAGTTACAAATTGCGCTGAAACGCATAATGGTACACGATTCGTGTACCAATCGTAAAATGTTTATTTTGTCATAAATATTGAGTATCAGAAGCCCATCTTTTCCCGGTAAGATCACAACACCAATGTTGATTAAAATTGACAAATAATTCATGTTTTCATTGTCGAAGGTTTTGGATGATATTGAGTTAGAGACTTAGCTACTTTAATTAGGGCATTTCAGCAAAACTGGTGTATGTCAAGCTAACATTGCAGCATGTTGCAAACTAGCTACATATTACATAATAACGATTGTGGTGTAAGTCAGGTATTCTACACGTTATTAATCTTCTTATTCACTAATTAATCTCATTCTGTAATTAACACTCAACCCGTCAAAAGAGCACCTGTCATGGTTTATGACAATGATTACTCCCGTTACATGTTCTCTAATGTTGAAGGAAGAATAGTGCTTAGCATCAGGGAAACGAAATATAGCACCATGTCCGAAGAAAGAGTCAATAGATATGAAAAAATTGACTTTCTTGGCGAAGGACAGGTAAATTATTATTCTTAAGACATTATGGAAGCCAATGTTATCAATGTGGATCCTTGGAAACAATTCAATATTGTTGAATTTACATGGAAACTTAAGTAAAAATGGCGACAAACCTGCTAGCACTTGCTTTTGACTTGTTGAGTGTTAATTGGGATTAAGATAGGTAAAACTATTTTAAGGCTTAATTATAATAGACATTTTAAAGCATTTCAATATTTATCTGAAGAACTCGACAATTACACCACAATATTTATATATATATACCAAGCCTCAAATCAGTTTCACACATTTATAGTCACTTAATATCATCCAAAATCTTCGACATTGAAAACACGAATTTTTTTGCAATTTAAATCAGTGTTGGTGTTGTGATCTTACCAGGAAAAGATGGGCTTCTGATATCCAATATTTAAGACAAAATAAACATTTGACCATTGGTACACGAATCGTGTACCATAATGCATATCAGCGCCATTTGTAACAAGGTGCTCAAAGAATGAGGCTAGACATATTCCATAAGTCATGTCAAACGGTGATATCATATTCTTATTTGGAGAGCATGTGCAATAAATACTATCAGTGTAGAGTGGAATAACCAGGCGCTAGAGATTGCCATTCGACTGAGACTTCTGGCGTATTTCGCCGAACATAACTGATGACGATTCACAGTAAAACGGACACGATTGAATGTAAAACAGTTTATATAAATTCATATTGCATTATTATATGTGTTGCGACCCATTTGTGCCAATTTCTAGGTCCAAAATATTAGCGATTTAGCTCCTTTAACTAGGGGGCCTGGAATAAGTTGGATGGTCGAATGGTTAGCAATTGCATGCTGTATCATAAAGTCTGTCATTGAGTCAACTGGCGTGGTTTTGATTCCTGGGTTGTACATGACAAGGATTAGAGTCGCCTGTCCAGTCTCATATGTTTTCTCCGGGTCCTCCGGTTTCCTCCCACTGCTAAAGACCTACACACAAGCGAATTATTGAAATAAAATTGAACCATGTATTAGTCCCAAAATGACCTACATGTAGTTGTATCGAGATGTTAAACTCTCTCACTCTCTTTCACTCTCTTACTTAATAAGCTATGACCATTTACCCATCGATAAATAATAAACTGAAAAATGGTTGCGAGTGTCGGCCATAACATCCGGGCAGTTTCGATTTAAAAATAGGTTACATGCCCTTGTTTTGTAATTAGTCTCGCTTAACCAGTCTACGGACCATTCTCCGTCTGATTGACAGGCGGAATAATCTAGACTACTTTTTTACGAAACATAACAGAAAGCTGGAACAAGAAATTGAATTTAGAAACACACACATTAGGCAACTCAACAATTGTTTTAAGAACCTTGTAAAAGTAAAATGAAACTACTCCTAGTATCTCATTATTTGTACTAAACCAAAAGATGCCGCTCCTAACGGTAAAGTTGATGATGAAGCCATTTAAAAAATAAAACGAACATAATTTCTAAAGCTGCTGAAATAACCAAAAACCTAAAGGTTTTTTTCGGCTGTAATAGTTGATAGATGTGATGACTATTTATAGACTCATAGACACTTGCGCTAATGTTATCGCACCGCGTGAGTAACCAGAAATCACTTCGAGACAAGCCACTGAAACGTGCACATTCGCCGTGTCGAGTTCAACTTTCTGTATGGAAAATTTTCGCTGCATGGGGCACCCTACACTTGCTAAATCCATCTAGTTATACATGTAAGGCACTAAAAAGTAAGGAGAGTTTAGCAAGGACAGTGTCTAGTCGTCGGATGGTCTGGAAACAGGTCCTCCTTTGTACACGTTAGCGTGCACGTAAAATATCCCTTGAAAGTTGGAACTTGATATAAGAGTAGGCTGTAGTGCCGCACTTACCGGGGAAAATTTCTCTCATAGCACAGTGTCAGTGGACAAAAGTAGAATGTTAAACCCCATTTCATTTAGAAAATAGGATGGTCCAGGGAGGCTTACTGCTTAGACTTCCCACTTATTCTGATAAAATACTAAATGTGATCGGATTTTCTTTATACCGGTAATGTACCAATGCAGCTCCCGTCTCCTCGAATGATGAGTGACGTGTGACCAAATTTCTTTAAATACGAAATATGTCTTAAGAAAATCAGCTAACAATTCTAAAATGACATCAATGTTTTCTCTAAAAAATAATTTTGAGTTGACCTATTTGGATAATTTGACTTTTTTTTATAAACAGAGCTATTTTGATGACTGCAAATAAATTCTACATATATTTCTGTAGATTTTTATGATTTTTCTCGTCATACATATACCATACAAAACGTAATTTATGTATAAGTTTGATTCAAAATAAATCACACATATAAAAACATAAATATTGTACAAAACCCCTCAAATTTCTCTTATTTATACAGGTATCCAATTAATAACTCTTTGTGCAATGAAATATGAAGCATTTACTTAACTTAGTTGATCTCTTGTTGGGTAGCCATTTTTGCTTTATAAGGCTTCAAAATGGGGCTAAATCTTTTGTATTTTTCATTCTGGTGAATTAACAACACAAAAGTTAGACTTACATGTACATGTAACTCAAGTTGAGAATAGATGTCTGAGGTCGGTATGTGATAGATAATATTATTTTATTATTATTTCACAGTTTGCTACAGTTTACAAGGCAAGGGATACTAAAACAGACAGGATTGTTGCTGTAAAAAAGGTAAGAGAGGTCCTAAGAAAATATTTCTCCTAAATGTGTATTTGATGAGACTTGCATTCACATGCTTGGTAGAATCATTATCCAGCATAATCATGCGGAATATTAAACTGACAATCAGTGTACAAAATATAAACTACAATCTCGTACATGTACATGTATCCCAAAAATTGACTAACAGTTGGGCTAACTTACTTTACCCAATTATTATCGTAATTCGCTTGGTTACCGATAGTGTATTTTTCTGTAGATTTTCTGCATAATTTATGCGTAAAATACAGTAGGAAAAATGCACTACATGTACATCAAGTCAGAATTTCAACGTTTTTAAGGGTCAAGTCTCTAATGTCTGAACCCTGAACCGTATAAAAAGTTAATGCTTTCTTGTTAAACAGATCAAAATAGGAACAAGAGCAGAAGCAGCAGATGGTATTAACAGAACAGCTTTACGAGAAATAAAATTACTTCAAGAACTAGAACATGCTAATATCATTGGGGTAGGTACACATAGGAGGTTGTCCAAGTACATGTATGCCATATACCTTATATCAAATCTTGGTTTCAAAGTTAATGCCATGGTATATATATAGACTACTGTACCTGACTACATCATCCACTGGCTCCCTGTGTTATACAGGATATGATACAAGATCCTCCAACTTGTGAGTGCATCAACAACCAGGCTCCTCAGTATCTCACTAACATCTTCACCAGAAATAAGCCAGCCCTAGCTCTCCGGTCACCTGAGTGCCGTCTCATGTATGTGTCACCATCCGGATCCCATATCACTGGAGACCACTCTTTCATAGTTGCTAGTCTTTACTTGTGGTTTCCAAGTTAATATCATGGCATGGCATGGCATATATCAAATCTCGATTTCAAAGATAATGTATATCAAATCTTGGTTTCAAATTTAATGAATTAATGTATGTCATAGCGTACACGTATATCAAATCTTGGTTTCAAGGTTAAATGGATGCATATGCAGAGGTTTTTTGTAACAATAGATTTACAAAACACTATTTCAGAGAAGCTAATTAAAATGAATCAAAATTATGTTTATTATGTATTTTTATTTATTACAGTTATTAGATGTTTTTGGTCAAAAATCTAATATTAGCTTAGTGTTTGATTTTATGGAAACAGACCTTGAGGTAATGTTAATTTACTTTTAAACTTTGGTAACTATACCTTGCAGTAGGTACATGTATCACCCATAACATTAAGAAGTTTGTTTAAACCAGAAGATGCACAATTGATTAAATAATGACAGATTAGTTGTTTATTTCCAATAATCATTTTGATTACCGGTACAAAAAATTTGAAATTTTGAATAATTGTTTCTGTTTCTATCTATTCTTCATTATTTATGGGAGAAAAATTACAATTTAACCTTAATATAATAATTTTATTTTTTCCTGGTTTTTATTTACAGATTATTATAAAAGATACAAATATAGTTTTAACTCCTCCACATATAAAATCCTATGTATTGCAAACATTACTAGGTTTAGAATATCTTCATGCTCATTGGATTTTACATAGGGTAAGTTTATTACAAATAACACCATTTAATTTTTTAGACTTAGAAATTAGATAGAGATGCCATCCATGACCATGGGTGAGGTCAGAACAAAAAGTTAGTGTTAGAGTTTGTGTCAGTAAAAGATTTAACTTGGACCCCTTAATTTGATGTTCAGATTAGAAAAAAAGTTACACTTTTGAAAATATTCTAAATCAAGTTGAAAACGTTGAGAGAATACTTTTCGAAACATTGCCTAAATAAATCAGTAATTGTTCTTCCATAAGTATGTGTTATAGTTTATTGCTCTATCCAGTTACTAAATGCCTCTAGAAAATTAATATTTTAATCACCAAGTAGCAGACTCGATATTTTTATACTGTTACATCCTTAGTCTGTATGGAAAAGTAGACACTGGAACTAACAAAATGGATAACTGAATTTATACTGTTAGTTGAATCTAGTTCTATTGTAAACCTTGTAATTACAGGATATGAAACCCAATAATTTATTAGTTAATGAGCAAGGGGTATTAAAGATTGGAGATTTTGGTTTAGCAAAATTCTTTGGTTCTCCTAGTCGGCCATATTCTCATCAAGTTGTCACAAGGTAAGATAAATCCTATTTTCACCAAAATTCATTCATAATGGTGCTCATCTAAGATTTTAGAGTCTTAGCTGCTCGGTGAGTGTGGCACTGGATCACTGACCAATGGGGTGTGGGTGGGCAGGGGGTTCAACTCCGGTTCATAGGTTCAACTCCGGTGTTGGGCTAGAAATATCCCCAAGATTTTTTAGTACAAGAGGGCCTGACAAAGAAAAGTATTGAGCTGTTCGGATGAGACAGAAAACGAAGTCCCATGCACATATAAAAAATCTTGGTTGTTGTTATTCGAAATAGAGTAGCCAGAAACAATGTTCTCTGGGCAATTTTTTTCTCTTGGCACACAGCATGATGTATTTACTGGTCTTCATTAGTCTGGTTGGCATAGAAAATGTCCCAGAAAACTATAATGTACAATTTCATTAATTTAACATTTAGATGATTGTATGTACGGTTGTTATTATTACAGATGGTATCGATGTCCTGAGTTATTATATGGTGCTAGATACTATGGTACTGGTGTAGATTTATGGGCAGTTGGTTGTATATTAGCAGAATTATTAATCAGGGTAGGTTATTATATAGAATTTTATTATAGTCTCTTGAACATCATTTGAGGGATTGTTAATTCATTACAAACTACAATATTATAAACGTTCTATCTGTAAACTGAATATCAGTCCAAAAATGGTTCAATTCTATTCAGTATTTACAAAGATATGATGAATTGTCAACATTTGACATCCAACACAAGCCATAACAACCTATTAGTTTTGATGAAATCATTTGATGAGTTGGTTTTTAACCTGATTGCATCCAAGCTTGGAAGATTGTCTAATGTTAATGGGGGTTGATGGCTGAATGTTTAGCGCTTGCGCGTGGTTTGCAATTCCCTGGTTGTACGTGACATGGAGTAGGTCGCCTGTCCAATCTCGTGGGTTTTCTCTGGGTCCTTCGATTTCCTCTTACTGTTAATCCTACACACAAGGGAATTATTGAAATACAAATGTTAATCCCAAAATGACCTAGTTTGTGTCGAGTGCACCTTAAACCCCATTTCTCTCTCTCTCTCTCTCTGTCTCTAATGTTGATATTTTAATTTTGTTTTCATATTTAATTATTGAATATTCAATTGGGAATATTTTAGCGTGGATAAAATTAATCAAGAACCTGATACACTGTCCATAAACTAATTATATAGTATGAAATAACGTTTCCTTGTACATAGCTACATATTTGTTTATGAATTAATATATTTTAGGTACCTTTATTTCCTGGCGATTCTGATTTAGATCAGTTGAGTAGAATATTTCAAGTGACCGGTACTCCAACCACTGAGGATTGGCCGGTATGTTTACATATATTTCTAAATAGTTATGTATTATTACTCCAGATAATATGCTTTTGAAAATATACCAAATAAGATTCCAAGTAGATTTGGTGCAGGGTGGAGGGCCTGACAAAAGTAGGACGTTTAACCCCATTTCATTTCCAAGTACATTTCAATTTTATTTAATGTAACTGCATTTATATCTATCTCAGGACTAGGTTTACCAGTGTTTTTATGTGTTTTGTAATATTTATCAGGAAATGAAAGCCTTACCAGATTATATACAGTTTAAAGAATATCCACGTCAACCATTAAAAGATATATTTATAGCAGCTAGTGAAGATTTATTAGAGGTTTTAGAAAGTATGTTGTGTTTAGATCCATTAAGAAGATGTACAGCTAAAGAGGTAAACAAGCAGGACAGTATTTCTTTTGCATTCTTGTCATTTTAAATTTCATTGAGTCTCTTATTTGCAAGAATTGGTCTGCCCAGGACTGATCCAGTTCTGGTATACACGTAGTTTGTTTAGGTTTCAAACGACACCAATCATGATAATACTTCAGTGATTGATGTTTATCTAATCCTGCATTAAAGATAAACTGGCACTTTTGTGATCTGCAGAGCTGGTAATTGATAAAAAATACCTTTAATCTTGGCTTGATTTGACTACATATAATATAGTTTAACAGGGATGTTGAAATTCAATTATGCAAAATTTGGGACATTATGTGCCCCAATCCATATTGAGTTTCAATTTACGAGCTGTGCACATTTTAAACGTTTTTCAAAGATTTCAGCTGACTAACTTTGTAGGTGTTGTCATGGTACTTGATTCCATTTACAGTGATATGCTTGTACTTAAAATAGACTTAACACATATCAGTCCCAAAATGGTAGTCAATGTCATGTTTCTAATTAATAAATGTAATGACAGCAGTTCTGTATTAGCGTTTATAAAGTTTGATGTTTATTATTTGTTGTTGTGCTCTTTTAATGGTATATGTATTTATTTATTAATCAACAGGGTTTACAGATGAATTATTTTAGTAATAAACCTCCACCATCTTGTGGTTCTCAATTACCTCAACCTGGTTCTAATAAAATAATACCTAAAGAACAAGAAAGACAAAAAGCTGGTATAAAAAGAAAACAACCAGGAGATCAAGGTGGGATGTTTTTATTGTACCATTATTTTATTACCTACAGTAGACTTTTTATTTATAATCTAAATATAGGTAACTGGTTATAAATATATGGTATCTAATATATACCTTGAAAAGTTGAAAGTTTTACTTACTTACCAAGATCCTTGTTCATAAAAGTAGAATGTTTTAAGGGAAACTCTTTTTATTGGTATAATACTTGCATACATAATTGAACTCGTGGCCTATGAAAAAGCTGTTTCCTGAATTTATTTTATGTGTATAAGGTCCTAAGGGATCTATTGCCATAAAACTCATAATGTTATCTACTCAATTTAAAGAAAACAGTCATTGAGTCAACTGGCATGGTTTCGAATCCCCGGTTGTACGTGACAAGGAGTAGGGTTGCCTGTCCAGCCTCGTGGGTTTTCTCCGGGTCCTCCGGTTTCCTCCCACTGCTAAAGACCCCTACGCGCAAGCGGATTATTGAAATAAAATTAAACCATATGTTAGTCCCGAAATGACCTAGTCTTGTGTTGAGTGGACGTTAAACCCCATTTTTCTCTCTCTCTCTCTCTTTAATGCAAACATTTTCTGACAAAATCCAAGGTGCAAAAGGTCGACGCAGGTTCCTGCCTCAATCCCTGATAAAACATTCAATATTGTTATTATTGTAATCCAGGGCCCTTATTCACGAAAACTTAAACTAAGATACAATCGAAATTTTAAGAAATACTGCAATTCGATTGGCTGATCAGTAAAATCAATTTGCATATATCCAATTTGCATATTGGTCAGCCAATCGAATTGCAGTATTTCTTAAAATTTCGATTGTATCTTAGTTTAAGTTTTTGTGAATAAGGGCCCAGGCTCTTACCTTAAAATTAACTGTATTTATGTGAGTGAAACAAGAGCCCTAATTGTCACCCACTTAAAAATTTATATTAAATATTGTATTTAATAAATGTATTTGTTTATTTCAGGGGTGCTGGCTAAAAGATTATTATTTTAAAGACAACTAGCTGTTTACATTGTTACCTCATTAGTGAATATCAGTTGTTATTTATAGAAGTGAAACAATAGCAAAATATTTTATAGTGTAGTTTCACAATGTGTGATTGGATTTGGTGGACTTGTCTCCAAAGTGCTATCTAAAGGAGAAGGGTGTTACTTGCCATGTAAAGAATGAATCAAATTAAACAGCTTAATTGATGTGGTTGGGCATGTATCAACATTTAAGTGTCAATATTCCCGTCCATCCTAAAACATTACTCTATGGGGGTACTCGATTGAACGTTACAGAATTGAATTCTCTCAATCCCAAAAATAGTGACAATCGAGTGAAAAGGGGTATTTCGGGTTACAATGCAACTGGATAAGTAGATATCTTAACCAACCATGCAGCCGAAACATATTCGTTGTGTTTAATTACGTCACGATTCTACTCACACCACCGCCGTAGTCGGGACTGACAGAACTGTGAGAAGACTGAATTCGCGTCACTCGATTGCAGTTCTGTCAATTCGGTTCGTTCTGGACTGTGAATCGAGCATCCCCTGTCTAGTTTGCTTATGGGAGGTAACTCTAATTATAAGACTTGTTTTCTTTTTATTTTAAAGGAAGCATTTTGTGAATCTCCACACTACATAATCAATGTTGTTCCAAAATAATATTCTAATGTTTGTATTTAAACAAAGTTAGATGTTATGCTTTTGAGGTAAATTTACTTTTGATTTAGAAATCCCTCATTTTAGATACACACCATTATCTTACAATTAAGTGAGAGCAAAATTAAATTATTACTTTTACTTCAAAGATCATAAATGTCTGTCAATGATATCAATTGTTTCATAAATACACTTGTTAATAGATATTCAGTGATATATATTCATTGAATTTTGTTATTTATTAATATGTTGTTCATGTATATTTGTATTATGAATTGTGTAATATCATCAGAGGTCAGTATTTGGGTGTATGTCAATGTGGTTCACTTTTAAGTGACATAATATTTTCTTATAATAGATTATAACCATCTTTGACCAGTGAATTCTTGTATACATTCCTGATTTTATGATATTTAACTCGCACATCCAAAAACTCATGTTTGGTTTGTATAATATTTCAAATTGTGGACAACTTATTTTTCTAGCAGTACTGGTTACAGAGTAAGTTTCACTGAACATATTGGTTGATGAGGAGGCTCATACATTGATCAAATTTATGGTATAAATGGCTGAAGTTCTTTAGATTAGTAGTTATGACCACCCAATCATGCATGTGTGGTTTTAAAATTGTCATAATTTTTTAAATAATGCAATTAATTATGTCAACATATCCTTTCCATAACACGATCCTGAAAGTCAATGTTACCTGCCACACAGGTACCTGCAAGATTTAAATATTTAGCAATAATAAAATGGATAACCTAGCCTTGAATGAAATTTTCAATATATTCATTTTTCATTATCTATTTTAGAACCTTTTTAGCAAGAACGGTCAGCTGTCCGCTCTTTATTTAAATCTTACATAATGCATCTATAATTCGCAGTTAAAAGAATATCCTCTTGGATTTATGTATTATGAGAAAGGTTACATTAACATTTTCTAAGTTTGCCAAATCTTTAGTTTAAAATCAAATAGAGAGCTGCCTTAAATCAACTATAGATATATGAATATGTGTAGTTATTTATTATATTGTCTGTTACTGTAAGATGTCTTGTATATTTTTATAATAATAAACAAGCCTTGTTTTTGTTAATAAAATAATATATGTATTTTGAAATCATTGTTTAGTTGTAGATGTGGATACTAAAAATACACTAAACATATTTTCCTATGTACTTAGCTGTAAACTAAATGTAAATTTATTAAGATCATAGTAAATCTTGGCTATGTTCTACTGCTGTTTCTAAACCATTTTTTTGTCAAGAAATACAAACTTCACTACGAAGACACTACAAAGATCTGATGACACCCTCAGCCACTGTCTGGTTCAAAAGTCCTGAAGGGAAGGAACTCAGAAGTGATGGTTATTGCAAATCGTGATGGTGGGTTATCTTTACAGACACAACATAATATTCAGCATAAAAGGACAAACAATTCTACGTGTAGTCAGTAATATAAAACGCTCAAATATGTTCAAATCTATCCATTTAACTGTCCTTGAAATTGTTTTTTGAGTATATAGATACATGATTTTTTTACTATTTATCTAGCATCTACATTGATGAGAGTTTAAATTTCTGATGACACACTTGACTGACTTATATTTTTTACCAGTTTTTAATGCTGATATTTGATTTTTTATTTGTGTCTAATGGTGGTCATGTTTACCCCACAAATAATGAAAAAATAATCCTATCTGTGCAAATGGGTTTATCAATACAAATCTTGCAGTCTTTATTTATTTATGTTTGCAAATAAATAATCAATTCAAGAGAGGACTCTTGTGAGGTTAGTAAATTGTATGTTGAATAGTTTTGTCACTGGCCTTCTCACCTCTGAAGTCATTTTAACCATGACTTGAGCAGCAGGGCCGGTTGTAGGAAATGGGAGGCCCAAAGTTACAGGCTATGAATACATTTCAGGATATAAATAACTTAAACTAGGCCTATATTCATTCATATTTAAGGCCAACTATGCTTTACTTTACAATTAGTAATTGATTAATTAATACCTGAAAATAGCCACACCTAATATGGGGCACAATTTGGGGAAATTGGTCACATTTGAACAGGACCTGATAGGGAAAGTAGAATTAAATATGCATTATGCAAGAGGTAAATCTGCCTATTTCAGGTCTTTCTTTAAGCCTGAAATGTTATATAAACAATTAATTCAACATTTATTAACATGAAAAGACCTTAATCAACTTTCGATGCCATCTTATCTGTCCGATTTTCAACGGCTTAGAGTGAAGCAATTTGACTGAAATTTTCAGCATATTCCCTTTACATCATGTACTTTATCTTATCTCCCACAATGTATCTTTAAAGAGGTGTACTAAACGAGATGACTCGACACTATGAGAACATGGAGAAGGAATATAATAAAGTTATACACAGAAGATGATATAAGTGATCTGTTGCATTTCTAAAGTCAAATCATATATACATTCCTTAATATATATCTCCTTACTAATATTTCCTCTGAAAAGGAAAATATGTAACGGTTCACTTAATTACCAACACAATATTGTTTTTTTTATGGAAAATAAAATTGTTTTATATTATAATGTAGCCTATAGTGAAGTGGGAAAAAATTAAATAAAATGAGGTTTAAGTTCTATTTTTCTGCATCAATCGGGGGGACAGTGAAGTGATAAAACCAACTAGTTTAGTTATACATGCAGTTTATAGTAGTTTATACTAATCTAAAATTGGACAATATAGTAGCATTTCGGCGGTAAAATGATGTACGGGCGTTTCTTATAACAAGATATGCAGATGAAATCGACTAGGTTAAAAGAAAATGTACACCGCTGAATTTTTTGACAATATGAAAGAATTTTGAGATTTTGTATGAATGAATGAAATACATGTAAAAGTTATGTGAATGTAAAACCAGCTTTTGATGATTTGATTTTTGTGACTAAAGGTGTATCATATTTAATGTTATTTATGAAAACAAGGTTTGTATGTATGGGTAATGAAGATAGATTAAGGTATTGTGTGTTTATATACGGTATGTTAGTGTATATATATATCTAGCTAGTGTATGTTTGTAGGTGGGAGTTGCCATCATCGCAATTCAGGAACCTTTCCTTGCATCCTGCTCAACACTAGTTTCGTCTTTTCGGTACAGATTTGTTTTTGTATAAAAATGTAACAGAAGCTATAGCTGAAAATATATTTATGAGGTGAACTAATTCGAATTTCCACCAACAAAATGGTCATGCAGAAATCATATATGTGTTAAATTAACACTATTCGAAAGACCCCCACCCCAACCAGTTGCCACCCGGCCAAATATTATTCACACAATATACTTCAAAAGTCAGAAAGCCCTAATAATCTAGTAGTAAGCACTGATGTGCTCTGCAAATTTCCATTTCCACAATATCACGCGTTAAAATACGTATTCACCCCTGACCTCCGCAAACTGCGGTCATTGATGTAAATTAGTTAAATAGCTTTATTTAACGTCCCCGTTCACTAAAGTGATATCGCAAGGCACATGTATATAACTAGACGGAAGCCAACTTGTGGATAATCCTATTCATGTTAATGTACTTAAATTAAAATGGGTATATAAAAAAGGGTTTACACACCACCCTTATTTCTTTTAGATACAAAATAATGTATACAAAGTATAAAATATTGACACCGTTTTATTGTCGCTCAATCTGATTAATACAGATCTATATTTCGTTTCGATTTTTTTTATACTTTCGGTGGCCTACACTGCATGAATATCTGGCCGGTTGTAGTGATAGGTCGTGTCAGAGGTCATACGAGCGGCTTTTGACCCTATGACGTCAGACATTGATTAATCGAACAGCGTTGACGTTTCTAGTACTTTACCCACAGTTCCGTGCACGTACGCCAAGAACTCGCTGTAACAGACCGCTTCATTGGCTAATCCCTCACATTAACTAGAATACTAGTGTAGTAAAGACAAGTAAAACGAAATTTTGAAATATAAAAAACGAAACGCTTAGGATCTGTGTTTTCATCAGATTGCAGTGTGCTATAATGAGGGAAATTTTGCCACACCAGCCATTTAATTCTGTCAGGGGTTCTTTTACGCGCACGCCGATTTCTACACGAAATATTGTTGTTTTTTGTCCCATCCGAATGACTAGACGCTGTTCCTTGCCTTTGGGTTTTAATACGATATGGTCCCAGGCAGGTTCATGCAGTCAAGAGAAAATACGTAGTGAATCTTTTGTTCTTGGTGATCGGGAATTCCTTGTCCTGGCATTGTTCATTTTGCTGTATTTGAATTAACAACTAATACTATTATATAACATCCAAGAGATATATAGACATCTAAGAAACTGGTTAGTGAAGATGAATATTATTGTATGAAGTGACTATAGTAGAATTAAATGATTCTTTCCAGTCATGATGATATACTGACACTAGTGTGGTACTGTTACCTGTTGAATCAGCTTACTATATTGTCAGCAACAAATACCTTTAATTATTATTAGCCAATGGATTAAAAGGAAGTGTCTAATTAAGGTTGGTATGGTTTACTAAATTAAATTTATGGCATGGAACTTAAAAAAAAGTGTGGATTCGGTGAACAACAAAATTTTCAATCGGCGGAGAAGTGATCACAAATAAGCGTTCCAATTCGACATAATTATATGACTGGTGCCATGCGTGAGGTAGAGTGTGTTTAACCCATTATAATGCTAAGGTTCCATGATACCCTTTCATTTACCTAACAACCTTTTTGTGGGTATATGGGTTTGCCTGTATTGTATCATTTAGGTTTTTTGAGCCTGTATTGTATTATTTCGGTTTTTTGGGGTTTGCGTTTGAAATTATAATAAAGAGTAGGTGAAAGAACTTTAATTGATCATGAAAGAGATTTGACCGAAACTGTTTAATATGACGTTATTATTCGTTTCCATAATTAAGCTAAAGAAAACTATGCGCATATTTCATTAATGTTAGACACTGTTATTATGAATGCTGATTGGTATCACGACAACCTGACATCACGACATTTTAACCCGACAATATATTTTAAACCGGCACCACGACATTAAAAATTTCGTACATGTAATGTCGCGTAAAAATGTCGTATTGTCGGGTTAAAATGTCGAGTTGTCGGCCATGCTCCTTTCAATATACAGTATGATTATATGTACACTGATCCTGGTGTTGGTCAAGAAAGTTCCCCGGGATTTTGCAGCGTGGTTTCTGACAGCCAGCAGTGCAGGACCAAGGGCCTGGCAAAGAACAGTGTCTAGTTGTGTAGATGAGACAAAAACACAAGCTCCTGTGTACACTGTTTCGTTATGCCTTTTGCAGTAATCAAAGTTATACAGGCCTATAGACAATAATAACGTAACATCCTTTCTCTTTTCAGAAAGAAATAGATCTCATATTATAATACCCAACATGACTGATTAGAAATAAAATAAACAATGAAACACACCCCTATGTGTATAACTCAACACAGTCACTAGATTACATTATAGGGCATGCATTATGTTACATAGTCTTTCAAATGGTAAGGTTTTAAAGTTCGACGACCCGATCGAGTAAAGTTCAAATTCCTTCTTAAGAGTTTCCTTTTTGCTGTGAGTTTTCGTATTGATGACAAATTTCACATGATGATACAATATTTTTAATATCGCTGGACATGCCAGGCCAGAACATACATTGTCGAGCTCTTCTTAGATAGCCATTAATACCGATGTGCAACATGTGCTTGTTTCTTAAATTCTGACCTGAGAGTTCCAGAAATGAATACACAGTCGCCTTCATAAATTACGCCATCATCAACAATAAGTTCATCTCGAAAACTAAAATATGAGTAGAGTTGTTGAGAATGCCAGCCAGTTAAGATAATATCAGACAATAATTGTAACACATTATCATTTTTGGTAGCTTCAACGATTTTGTTGAATCATTCAGGTCTGATAGGAAGATAATCAGTGGTATTAACAGATTCAAAGTTAATACTTTCACTTTCAGAGGAGTCATTAATAAATGAAGGTGATAGAAGATCTACGATATGCATATCAGAACCGTTTAGATACGAAACTTTGATATCATAAGCTGCAGCACGCAAAAGCATACCCTGTAAACGACGAGGTACCTGAGACATAGGCTTTTCATGATCGATTCTAATGGTCGATGATCAGAAATAACATGTATTAACCGTCCGAATGTATGCCAGTGAAATTGTTCAAGCAAGTATACTATCGCAAGCGTTTCTTTTTCGATTTGTGCGTATCGCATAAGCGATTGGTCTTCCGTGCTGTAGTAGAACACCTCCAATGCCATGCAGACTAGCATCAAATAGTATAAACAATTCGTCAGATGGGTTATAATATGCTAATGCATGAGCTGTAGTGACTACATGTGTTAGTTTGATCTGTTGACCAATTCCAGGCATTGTCTCTATGCATAAGTTTGCGAATAGGTTCAATGACTTCAGACAATATTGGCAGAAATTATAACAGATAGTTTATGACACCACAATAACGTCTGACTTCTTCAAAGGTTTAAGGCTTAGGCATTTCAGTTATGGCCTTTACTTTCAAAGAATCGACTATAACACCATCACTAGATATGTAATTTCAGAATTATGAAAATCACACTTGTTTTTGTTGATCTGAATGTTTAGTTTACGACATATTAGTAAAGATTCTTTAGATTTCTGTCATGATCAGAGTTAGCAGCTTCATCAGATTCGCCTTGACCATATACTACCATGTCATCAGCAATGTTTAAAATACCAGTTAAACCAGCTAACGCAGTAGTTAAACGTTTTTGGAAGATTTCTAAGCTAACGTTAGTACCAGAAGGTAATCTTAGCCATCTATAATGACCAAATTGGGTCTGGAACGTTGTCACAAGACTTGATTCTTCATCTAAGACACAATGCTAGTATCCATCAGAAAAATCTAACTTGGAAAATACTCGAACCAATTTTCCACCGGAAGGTTGATCACCAGAAGGTAATTGATGTAAAACGACATCAAGTACAGGAAGTTGACGTCTTTCACGTAAGAGTCTTATTCAGAGAACGAGGATCTAAACAAACACAAAATTCTCCAAATTTCTTTGTTGCAATCAGCATCTTACTGTTCCAGGGTGTTGGTGATTCTTGAACAGCTAAAACACCGGACTTAACTCATTTAGTTTGTCTTTGACCAGAGATTGAAGAGAAATAGGTATTCTATTGGGAGGTAAGATAACGGGTTGTACAGTATCATTTATAGCAAAATTCCAGGTAAATTTCCAATTTTACCGCTTTCAAATACATCGGCAAAGTCTGTTAGAGGTTGAACATAAATTGTAGAATTAACAGCAGACACGAAATTAAACTTTATACTTCACTGTTATAATTCCAAGATCTTCAGAAGTTTCTTTCCCTAATATAGGAGTCAGGTTTTCTTTGACAATAATAAAAGTTACTGTATATTCGTTTGTTGAGTTTGGATTG